TTACTGTCATAGAGAAACTACAAAATGCTCCTCGCTCTAAACTATAATTTCCAAAGGCTTCGTTGTTAAAGACCATCAAAGTATTTTTAAAAAAATTCAAAAGGTAAGTAAAAACAGGCATTTTTCAAGGTTTGTTTCGTGGCCACGAATTTGCACTATCTGCCCTTGTTAAACATAGACAGAGAGCACTACAATTTTTTTTCACAGCACAACTCCAAGCAAGTCCTACTCTGACAAATCACGAACAACAATTGCAAGTGATTCTGGTGCAAAGTAACATACTCGGGTGTCACAAACATGTCCTGAAGCATGTTACAGCCTGTTTGATTGTTGGGAGCGAGCATTTAGCCTTTCGACTTTGATCCCCCACCTCGGTCACCAAGCCGGGACTGTTAAGCTCCTTGGGGTGTCGTCCCCTTACATGAAAATATAAATATAAATACTACTGGCACATGGACAGATCTGACCATTCATCAATTCAAAAATTACCTATTATTACCTTTGTGTAGCAAGATACAGACTTTACATTTGCCCAACAGACTTCCCAAAAGGCACTCTCATTGCACTGTATTTAAATAGGAATAGCTAATGAATATAAAATCTAGGTGATACACTTTCTTTGTGGCTAATTTTATGAGTAATGATAAAGAAAAGGTCCTGTATCCCTCTGGCTGGTCAATTGGTAACTCCCTTTAGCAAAGTCTTTCATTTGATTACTCAAGTGGTTCCACCAGGCATCAGAAACTACAGTGATACAGAGAGAGGAAAGTTGACAAGGCTCATTATCCAATCCACCCGAGACTGACCCGAGCAGGAGCTAATGTTACACTGCACTAATTACCATAAAATAAAACTGTACAGTACGTATTGTACAGCTATTACACTAACAGAGTGGCATTTATTGTTTGTGCCTCCACCTCCAATACCGACTCCACATGATACATTCTTAGTTCCTCACCTCATATTCCTCCCTTTCCAGAACTTGCACTTACGAGAAACTACAAATGAAATTTATTCGTCCACAAATACACAATCACTACATTTCACAGTAAAAATCCTGTGAAGTGCGTTGAGGTGTCTCGACAACATAAGGTGCTATATCAATGCAATGATTATTATTGTATTATTAACAATCATGTAGGATGAATGTCTCAAAGAGCTCTACCCTCCCATTTGTTTCCTCTCCCCAAACATCACGCACAAGGCTAGGGTTAGATCTTGGATACGTTCCAGAGATTCGCAGGCGTTTTTTTAGATGCACACCATGAGCTGAGGTGTCTCAGCCTTTCAATAATCCTCCTTGTGCAATCACTGAGCTCCCCCTCCACTCAACAACAACAACAACAAGAAGAAAATTACATTTATAGTGCGCCTTTCACGTCGGGAGGACTTCCCAAGATGCTGGACAGTCAGGGGTCAGGACCTGAGCATGGGGGGAGGTGGGACCGAATGCACGATCGAAGAGGAGGGTCGTGAGACCAGCCTTGAAGGAGGCAAGGGAAGAAGCGAGGCGAAGGGACTGTGGGAGTCTCATCCCTCATTATTCTCACTCAAGTCTCCAGACAGTCTCCTCAAACAGTATGGAATAGCTCCAGAATTCAGGTGGAACAACCATCCTGCCTATAACATGGGTTTAAATTCCATCCAAAGTTTCAAAACAATACTGTACAATGCATTTTAAAAAAAACTCTAGCTCATTGCACATTAATAGAGTCACTGATATCCTTTTGTGATTGTATTAATGTGGTTCGCAATACAAACATCCACCGTATTCAGAATGCTTTCTGAATAATCGTTTTCCAATTCAGTCAATCCTCTCGACTATCATGAATATGAATCTTTAAAGTCGGTAGTTTTTAACAATTTTCATTATAAATATCTGGATATTTTGGGTTAGCAGTCAATTTGTAAAAATAAACAACTAATTTATGACAGTGTATTGTTTTGGGTTTTTTTTCCCCCAATGAACAGGATGCATGGACATTGCTGTCCAGCTGATTGACATTCACAGATGACCTCAACATGTTGCTGTTAGTATTTACAATTTACATTTACACAAGCACCTTTCAAATCAGGAGAACATTTCTCAAAGTGGCAAATCTTAAGGTGAGCTTTAAAAGTGGGGAGGAAGAGGACAACTAGGAGGAGCTCCTGGGAATGGGGACAGAATATAATACAGTGACCAGCCAGAGACATTTTCTTCATCATCACTTATAAAATTAGCCACTCAGAAAATGTATTACCTAGATTTTATATTCGTAAGCTATTGCATTAAATACAGTGCAAAGATGTTGTGACAGTGCCTTTTGGGAAGCCTGTTGGGCAAATGGAAAGTCCGTATCTTGCTATACAAAAACATTAATAGCAATTTTTGAATTAATGAATGGTCAGCTCTGTCTGTGTGTCACTTATATGCCTTCTGCAGTGTAACAATATCTTAGTCTGTAACATTCCCAAAACAAATACAAAATAGAATCTGTTTTAGTTGACTCCAGAAATACTCCAACAAATTGTACTAAATTGATTGAGGCACTGGAGCTATACTGACCAGAAGAACCGTTTGAATCACAATCTGGGCTGAGTTACCTTGATCAGCCACAGCAGCTGCTGGGGTACCAGTTGACCTCAATAACCCTTTAGCTTTGGACAGGTAAATTAGCCAGAAATCGCATTGCTGGTCACTATACACATCAGATCAGTTCAGGATTGGACTCCGATGTGATGCCCCACAGTTGAATGGCCTACTAGCAATCATGGTGAAGCCATACAGCAGTAGAAGTAAAACAGAGTCAGATGCCTTTAGTTGGGGACAGTTAGAAAACTGCAAAGCAGATTGTTGAAAGAAAGTACCACAAAGTGGAATTGCGAGCATTAATGACTGCACCAACTTTCATTTAAAAAAAGTTCTCAATAGCCCTTTGTAAACCAATATGTTGTGTAGGTTTATTGTAGCAGTAAGCAGTTTAGGTATGATCATATATGTGTCCATATTATTAATGATCTCTGATCTTTGCACTCGTCTTTTGCTTTACCATATTGCTGCTCTTAAGTGCAATTTATTTTGCGAGGATTTTATATTGGATTTGTATACCTTTTTAAATTTGATCTGGCTGCAGATGCATACCAGGCCTGAGCAACAGTTAAAGATATATTGAATTAGAAGCATGGTGAATATTCATATCTTATTAAGTGTGATAACTGCACTTCTATTCACATGAAAACCTCTTTAGGGCAGTGTGGAAAGCTGCAAAACATTTACAGCTCTAATGGGTCCAGAAGCTATGTTTGGAGCCAGCAGATGCACAAACCATAAAGGGCTGTCCACTCATCTGATTTAATTCTCCCTTTGGGAGAATCATTTCATTTTAGAGCAACCTCTTCATTCTTTATTGGTGGGCACCTGCTGCACCCTGGGAAACACTAGCTCTTTGTCGTTCCCCTCTGATCTGGTTATAAATACAGTGCAACGTGGATGGTTTTCACTAATGACCTATGACGTGTGTTTTGTTATAGCGGTTTAGTTTTAAACNTTTTTTGGTTGGGGGATAATGAATCTGATTAATAGAATGTTATTTACAGAGTGTCTTTCATGCCAGTAGATTGTTCAAAAATGCTTTACGTTGCTGTCTGGGCACCTGAGCGGGGGTGGTGTAGGAACGTGGGAAGGGGAAATATGGGTTGATAGGGTGAATACAGAAAGGTAGGTATTGAGGTGGCTTTGAAAGGAGAGAGGGAGGAAGGTAGGGGTTTGAGTTATAATAATAATAATCCTTGCATTTGATATAGCGCTTTTCATGTCTTCGAGACGTCTCAAAGCGCTTCACAGATTGGACTGTAAAATGAATTGACTGTATATTTGTGGGCGAGTTGGAGGGACCCCAGGATGGAGTTCTAGAGAGTGGGGGTAAAATGGCTGAAAGTTTGTAGTTTTGTTTCTTGAACTGTTTTAGTTGCCATGAGGAAAATGATAATGTTCCTTTCTCCATTCCAATTTTACAGTTCATGATCTGGTCATGTTTATGGATCAGCTATAATAGTTGTATGTTTTCAAACATTGCACCCTTCATCAAACCGAGGTGGATCACACTGTTGATACTGATTTCTCAGTGTAACATAGCTTAGTCTGAAAGCGTGCTGAATACACTTGCATTTAAACTGCTCTTCTTTGCTCTTTGGCCCCTCCCCATTTTCATAAATTGCCTTCGCCTCCCCTTCCCAATCATTTAAATCCATGCACCATCATTAAGAGTGCGAGCAGATAGCAGACTTTAACTCTGATGCTACCATTCATTCTCCACCTAGCTGTTGATTTGTATCAATGCCAGCCTCCTAGTTATTTTGTTCTTTCTCTTCTTCACAGGAAACTGCTTATTTGCTTGCCTGGTTTAAAAATAATCCTTGCATTTGCATTATAGCGCCTTATCACATTGTTGAGATGTCTCAAAGTTCTTCACAGAATATTACTGTAAAATGTAATGAGTGTGAATTTGTAGGCAAACACGGTAGCCAATTTGCGCTCAACAATGATTCAACAAGGAAAATGGGAGTGAAGTTCCAGAGAACAGGAGCCAAGTAGTTGAAAGCCTGCCTGCCTGCCTATGGTGGGGCGGAGAGAGCAGAGGCTTGGAGTGAAGGGAACAATGAGCTGAGTGAAGAGAACAGTCAGTTGGTATGGGTGAAGGAGGTTGCAGAGGTAGGGTGGGGCAAGGAAATAGGGGAGTTTAAATGTGAGAACGAGTATCTTGAACTTGATCCATGGGCAGGAAAGTCATGGTCTGTGTCACCATTTGCAAATTACCTTCATATCTTTGCTTTATTGATAACAGTAAGTACAGTATTGATTGAACTGAAAATGAGTGATAATTTTGTAAAAAAAAACTTTAAAAAAAGGGTTGAAAAATAATGAGCTGGATATAAAATAAACAGAACAGATATTTTAAAAATATACCCAGATATTCAGACGTTAAGTGCAATTAACATTTTATGTGTGATTCATCCAGGGGTTTTGTGAATGACACCAGGAACAATCTACAGATGCGAGGTCTGGTTGTCTTATTAATGTCAAAAGCGGCTGGTCCCAGCAAAACAGCAGAGCCTCCACTGGAAGGAGACCTGGTCAGTGGAATTTACTCCAGGTACGCTTCAGTCAACTTTGTGTAATTGTCACTGTTTAGTGCAAAGTGTTATTAGAAGTATTCTTTTTCTTGAGATTAACTCTTTTTCTAAGTTACTTTCCACCCTCCCCTTTCCTTGTTTGGATTCTGTCATGCCAGGTACCATCTCAGCCTATGTACTCCCAGGAACTTCACCAGTGCTACTGTGAAAGCTGTCTGGATGAACTTTGTCACTTTATTTTATGTGTGTGATCATCCCAGGGTGTGAATCTGTGTTTTGCCAGTTTAACACAATGCAGGGATAATAACTTAAACTTTTTTTACAAAACATCTATACACAAGAAGTATTCTTGTCTAAATAAAGTCAGAGCTTTTATGCATTTGTTAATCTTTCAAAAGAATAAGAAAATCTGTCAAGTAAAATCAGTAAAGGTTCTGACATTTGTTTTTGATACATTGTCAGATCTTGAATAGCTCCTCAAGGACTGATCAAATACAACTGTCAGCAGCTGCCTCAGAGCGGTATTGGTGGCGGCCTGAGAGCAAGTTGCCTTGGTGCCTGCATGACTTGGGGAGACTGAAAAACTGAAGGGTTTTATTGCTCTACAAATCTTAAATACAGTTGAAGCCTAAAAGGTTGTTGGTGTCCATTGGTTTCTCATTGAAAATATTTATCCCGTATTCCTCTTCCGGAACGCGATGGTATTCAGAATACAACGCTGTATATTTTTTCACTAGTTTGATTTATTAATTTTTTGACAATAAAAAAAAGCTCAGCACAAAAATGAGGAGAAAATAGTTCAAAGATGCATCATAAATTGTCACAATGCCTCATAACAATGGAGGCCATGCTATATAAACGCAAGTTGTTGTTCTCTAATTAATAGTTCAGTACACAGATGGAAGGGCAATTCTAAAAGATTACATTTGTTGCAATAAATGGAAGTAAGGGAATTGCAAATAATGTAATTCTGCCGTGCTTGGTGTCCTACCCTCTGCTCTTTTAAGGTAAGTCACACCTTGAAAGAACAGACGGTAGGACTCCAAGCATGGCTTTTGGTCATCTTTCCCCTCCTCACTCCCACCCCCAGCTTGGTACCCAGCCAGCACTATGAGTTTCTTTGGTCCTCCAACTCCGGCTAGATAAATGTAAACTATATTGTATTGTGAAGCACATTGAGACTTTATCCTATGTGAGCGCAGAGCAGAGTTGAGGATTGAAGACTGCGACTCCTGCTTTCCATCCAACCTGATGGAATGAAATTCAACCATCCAGATTGTAAGAATCCTAAGAGAAATTAATTTGAAAAGTCTTGACCCAGTTCTTTGAGGGTATAAATTCAGCGTGAATTGCTGCAAGTCTTGATCGGACCACTTAAAGGATGGCTCGTGTAGGTGGGAAACAGAATCGCTACTGTTGTAGTTGAGGTGCTCTTTTTGAGGTTGGTGCTTGGAGCTGAGGGAACGTTCGTCAAAATTGTGTCCCTCACTTCCAGGTGAAGATGAAAGTCAGGAGACTTGATGGAAAATTAAATGAAGGCTAGGATATTAAAAGTTAGACCATACTGTAACGTCAGACTACTGACATTTTTCACATTCTGCAGATTTTGGCTAAATGTTTTTTTGGGGGTCAGTTATATTAAACTGATCTGATAATAAACATTTGTAAGGCAGCAGCGGTATCAATTTAGCTTTTAATTTAAAAAAAAGTTCAAATTCCTGTGACTAAAGACATTTTTCCCCCTGCTGTTTAGATTATATGATATCACTTTGAAGAAAATATTTTACCAAAAGAATCTCCAACTTTTATTAAAATAACAGCTTCCGAGTTAATTAAATTAGAATGTCTTTGGATAACTGGCAACAAATTTCCAAAGACTAAAGTGGAATAGCTACAGAGCCAGATTGTGCCTTAGCCAAGTAAACCTCTGATGAATTTTCTCTTCTCTAGTGCTGTCTACATCCTTCTGCATCCTGCTGCTACCTTCTCTGTAAAACAGCTACTACAATGGAGGCACTCCTGACCTTTGAATCATGTACAAAGCCATCTGTTGCCATGCTTCACAGTTTCGGTTCTTGGCCCAAATTGCCTTTGCTGTGGAAAAAAATCTCTATCCACTCAATTGAATGCAAATCTTGTTTGTACATTCACTAGATGGTGCTATGCTTTGGGTCTTTAGTATGAATGAACGATATTTTGGGATTAGCCAACTTTTTAAACCTACTCATTTTTTTGAGAGGTTGATGGAGATGGTAGGGTTAGGTTGTTTTTTAAACTTTAAATCTCTACTGTGATATCTTAATATGGATGACATTTTATTATTTGTGTGGGCAGAGTTTGACCCGAATCCTCTTGTGCTTACAACTGAAGAATGGGATAGACTTTTCTACACTGTGATCTGTTTCCATTCTTGCACAACTGGAAAAGCTTGAATCAATCAGACCAGCTTGTTGAGCCATTGTCAATAGAAAATCATGCCCAATGTTGTCATTTATATATATATATATATATATATATATATATATAATATATATATTCATATCTATAAGAAAGTCCTAGTGGGACTGACAGATTGAAGAAAACTCCTTACTGCTGTAGTAAACTCTCACTGTCTGAGAAAACTCTCACTGTCTGAGATCCAAATAATCAAGATTTGTTTAATGTGAAAGCAAATACAGTGCCCTTGGGTAATAACCCCAATGTGTCCATGCTGAATACAGTACCATCAGTTGTAGGTCTCTTTGGTTGGCTTCTACACCTCCCTTTGAAGCATTGGCTAGGGAGAATAGTGACAGTCCTCCGACTGAAAACAGCATCATCAGTAGTTAATCTTCACAAGACTTCTATCATTGGGAAGCTAAGACCGGGTCATATCCAAATCTGAAAGCACTTCCAAATTTGAAAGCAACAACAGCAACTTGGATTTATATAGTGCCCTCCATGCCAGACAGCATCTCAGAGCGCTTCACAGTAACGGATCCCGGGCCAAGCCAAGGGGAGGGGGTGGAAGGTAACCAAAGGCGCGGTCAAAAAGAAAGGTCTTCAGCAGAGACCTGAAAATAGGAAGAGTGGGGGCGAGGCAAAGGGAGTGAGGAAGGGAGTTCCAGAGCCTTGGGGCATAGTGGCAGAAGGCACGGCCGCCAGAGGTGGAGTGGAGGACTTGGGGGACAAGGAGGAGGCCAGACCTGGGGCGGAAAAAAGGCAATGGGCACTGTTTTGAGGAGAGAGGAGGTCAGAGAGGTAGGGGGCTGCAGAGAAGTGGAGGGATTTGAAGATAAGGGTGAGGATCTTGAAGTCGATCCTCTCTGGGACAGGCAGCCAGTGCAGTCTGGCAAGGACTGAGGTAATCAGGGAGCGGAGTTTGGTGCGGATAAGAATGCGGGTGGCAGAGTTTTGAATAATCTGGATTTTATGGATGGTAGTGGAGGGAAGGGCGTTTGAATAGTCCAGCTGAGAGGTGACAAAGGCATGGACCAGGATTTCGGAGAGAGGTATTGGCAGAGACGGGCAATGCGTTGGAGGTGGAAGAAAGCGGTGCTGTTGAGGGACTGGATGTGGGGGAGGAAGGATAATTGGGGGTCGAACCTGATGCCTAGGTTGCTTACGGGTTCGGAGAGTTTTAGGGGGAGGTTGGGTAGGTGGAGGAGATGAGAACCGTGAGATTTTAGGCGTTGACGAGAGCCAAAGAGTAAGCACAACAAAGGAATAATTCTTGGGGTTATAAAGAGTAAAGAAATGTTTAGAACTGTCCAGCATGTTTTATATTTTGGAAAATAATACTGTGCTATTGAAAGAGTTACAGTTCACAGCAAACCAGCCAATGGTACCTAATGTCCATCAGTGTGTTGCTGCCAATTAGTATAGATGTGGTCTAAATAGTATATTATTCTTGGATCAATGAACTGTACAATTCAGGGTCTAAATACTGCCAGGTTTGAGTAGAATTCAGTTACTAAATATTAGGTGCCATGTGCCATTGCAATTTCAAGTTGTTTCAAGCAATTTGTTAATTTTCTGCAAAGTCCTCCAGAGAGTATTAATTGTCACAGGAATTGACTGATTTCTTCCAGTCCACATTCACCAGTCACGTCATGCACTTCATGCAGAGTTTTTCTGTTAAGTCTTTGTTTACTTTGGAAGTAGCTGACCCTCTGACTACATTGACTCCATTACCGTTTCCTCCTTCCCCGTGCCTGATCATGAAACATTGGATAACCTGTGTGATGGTTAAGTAGAGAATTATGTAGTTCAAGTATAATTGATTGTGAACACTCTTAATGAGCCCTTTTTTACATGATATACTTTATAGTGATACTCTGCAGGATAAGTGTGAGTGTAATCAAAGTATAAAACAAATAGAACTCCTGTACTCTGAAGTCCCTTTTCACCACCTAAGGAGATATGGCACATGTAGATGTTGTGTCTGGGGATTGGGCCAGTTTATCCTTTACCTCCTTAGCTCCCCATATAATTAATAATACCTTCAGAGAAATTTTATTCCTAAAAAAAGAAACTCTGAGCCCTATTTACTATGGCTTAGCATTTTTTTAAGCTGCCATGACAATTTGTTTTATTAAACCAATTTGTCGTCTTGTGTTCAGAAGAAGGAAGTTTTCTGTTTTCGAACAAGGCTGAAATGATGTCCTGGGTTGTGGAGCTGAATACTCGGTTATAAATTTTAAATGCTTTATGAAAAGAAAGTTCTAACCTTTAAGTTGATACGAGGATAATTGCAAGTGCTACATTTAATTCCCATAACTAAACTGTTGGTTATTTCGAGCTGCGGGGTTCTGAAACTTGGCTGCTGTAACACATCAGGAACTAAAGCTTCCTGCTGCTCTCTACAAAAAAGAATTGTCCCTCACACCATCAAATTATTGAATTATTTGAAACAACGTTCAGAATCCATACTGAGTGCCTTGGACACTCATGGCTAGCCTAACCCTTTTACATCCGGGTTAAAATTATCCTTCATTCACTTTTTATCTCATTGCTCAAATTTTGAGGAATTTTGCTGGTGCAGATTAGCTGCTGTGTATGCCATCATAACAGTCAGTTCAGAGCAGAGTAACTCAGTCTGTTATTGCATTTTGGTACACTTCAACATGTTAACAATATTTATTGAGTGCAGATATTATCATTAACTGTTCATGATCAGCGTAAAGAGCAGAGAACTCAACACAAGCCTCTGTGGAACTTCATTCGTTGCTGACTCCCCTGACAGAGAGTAGTACATTTTTCATCACTTTCTACTTTACCCATTCCGTTAGTTACTGTTTTAATGAGAAATCCAAGTGAAGGAGCAAGCCTATCATCCTGAACGGCACTACCAACAATGCAGAACATTGCCTACAAAAATACTGTCAGAACACTTGACAGTAAATCCTGTGATATGTTTTTGAAACATGTTTACGATGTAATAAGATACTATATCAAATAAATACAAGGATTTTTATTTTATTATCAAGAAGAGTAGGGAGAGATGAAATAATCTAGAAGTAATGCAGTTGTGGATTTTAATAGCCTGAAGTCCAAAAGGAAGACTGAGAGGGAGGAATCCCATGTCTGCAGATCAATTCTGTCGGAGATGTACGATTTAATGGCTGGAGCTGTGCACGTATGACACTTTGGTCAGCAGAAACTACTAATAGAGTTGGACTTCTTTGGTAGTTGCTTGATCTCTTCTTCTGTGTTACTGTCTTGTCAATACTTTGAAGACTGAATGTAGTCCTTCATTTTTTGTCTTTATCCGCATTATAAGACTGCACTGTGAATACAGCAGAATGTGACCATTGATAATGCAGTCTGATTGTTTCACTGCTGTGTTTATTTTTGGTGGAGTTAACTTCAGATTACAGGATTTGGGCCTGGTTTCCGATAGAATTCTCCATAAATCTGTTGCAGGCTTGCTGCGTAATTAAGGCATGACCCCTGTTAAATATGGCTCATTACATTTTTCCATTAACTAACTTCAATAAATAAATTTGCATTCTGTGGGGCAGTGTCCCGGAGCACTTGACAGTGGCATAGCCTGATGCTGAGCCAGGGGGAGAACGAGGAGGAAGTGACTGTAAGCACGATTAAAAAGGAAGGTCTTTAGGCAAGATTTGTAATTGGGATTTCGGGGTAGGAGTAGTAGGAGTAAGCAAAATTGGATATATAGGGAGGTGTGAGGGCGTGAAGGGATTTGAAAACGAGTGAGAGGATCTTGAAATCGTCTTGTTCAGTAATTGGGAGCCAGTGGAGCTTGGCAAGGACTGGTGTGATGGGGGTACAGAGTTTTGTGTGGGTGAAAATCTGGGTGGCGGAGTCTGAATTAGTTGAATTTTGTGTATTGTGGAGCTGGGGAGACCAGCAAGGAGGGCATTGAAATAGTCCAGCCGGGAAGTGACGAAGGTGTGGACGAGGGTTTTGGTTGCTTTTGTTGTGAGGTACGGACGGAGGTGGGCAATGCGGAGCAGAGCAATGTGATGGCAATAGAAGGCATGTCACCTCAATTGATTCATTTTACATCAATTAAGTCCCCAGGTCAGTGTTGTGCACTTCAGGTGGGTTCATTGTCATAACGCCAGTACTACTTATTCCCTCCTTTATCTCTATCAGAACTTGAGCAGACTTTAGAGAAATTCAAAAGTAGATTTTATTAAAATGCCCTTTCCCTGGCTTACCTGAATCGTGGTAACATGAATAAACTGTCGCAACATTCAACAGTAACATTTCTATCTAATAACTATTCTAATCAAGACGCAGCAATTCCCAAAATAATAATTAAAAAAAACAATCTTGCCTGGGACTTACACCCCCAGTCAGGAACCTTAATCTCCACGTTAGCAGTTGGAAGTGATCCAAAACAATCAGCAACCTTAATCCCTTCCAATCCACCTAATTTATAACCCCTTAGTCCCTCCCTCTTTTGGCTTTTTCCCGCCAAAAATGTCCAGGCTCCAGGCTTAATATATCACTTCACCTCGCTTTTTCTATCTATTTTAGGGATCACATATCATCCCTCGCTTTTTGTATTTATTTTACTTAGACTCTTAATTCCTACTCGACCGAAGCCCATTCCTGCAATCCAAAGCAATCAATCCACATATATGTTATACTGTATATATACGGTCTTGGGCCGGAAAACAAAAAGGTTGCACAACAGTGCTTTAAGTTTTTCACCACGCATCGTGTCACAGCCTTCCCACAGTTGGAATCACAGTGACACAATCAACATTTGCACATGAAACGCACAATAGGCCAATGTGATTCATCACAAGATCACACCTGAAGTTATTAGTAATTCATTACGAAGTTATTGAGATCACGCCTTCTTCCACTGTGCCTATGGTCACCATCCCTCACTCCCTATTTTTACCCTGCATAACAGTGAACTTTTGCATTTGGAAGAAAGTAATAAATAATAATCAAATAGTAATCCTTACATTTGATATAGCACCTTTCATGACAGGAAGATATCTCAAAGCCCTTTGCAGGATTTTACTGTGAGGTGTAGTGCCTGCGTATTTGTAGGCAAATACCCACTTAATTGTGTACAGTACTGAGTAGGTATGAATTATTGCTACTCACCTTGCATGACTACTCAACAGTTTAGTTTTACTTCTGTTCTCAGTCCTGAAAAGTTTCATATCCTGTTGAGTTATGTGAGTAAATATAATGAAATCAGAAATTATTTTAGTTCTATGGTGATATTATCTTTTGAATCCCTTTCAAATTGTTTTCTCCAGTGTGACTCATCATACCCAATGGATTTGTGGTGTACTAGAGGATATGTGCATTTAGGTTTTGTGATTTTCTGAAATTGTCCTTCTCTTCTGATGGAGATGGTGAATATTATTCCTGAAGATTTTAAAGTGAATCCTTAGCAATAAAGACCCCAGGAAGTTGCAGGTTTGGAGTTGACTGATCTTGTTGTGCCTTCGCCTTGCCTCCTCCCTTTCCTCCTTCAAGGCCGGTCTCAAGACCTTTCTCTTTGACCGTGCCTTCAGCTCCCCTCTCGACTCTCTACCCCCTCCTCGTTCCCTCCCTTCCCTCCCCTCACCCTGACCATTTCCCCCCTGCTCGGGTCCTGACCCAACTGTACAGCGCCTTGGGACGTCCTCCCGACGTGAAAGGCGCTCTATAAATGGAATCTTGTTGTTATTGTTGTTCTTGTTCAGGGCAAAATTGATGCTAATTGTTTGTAATGGTCTTTAGTTCCACTGAGCTACAGAAAGAAAAATAGGCCAGGTTTCTGTCCCTGATTGTAGAGTGGTACCCATCCGGAAAATGCTTGGTTGTGGATATTGATGAGCGCAGGACATGGCTGCGATTCTCTCCATGGTCAAATAGCCAACACTCACTTACTAGTGTCATAATATGATTTCATCCCACATTCCTACAATAGTATCTCCATCCCACATTCCCTTTGTCTCGCTCTCTTCCTTGCCTCCTTCAAGGCACGCCTCAAGACCCTCCTCTTTAACCGTGCCTTCGGCCACCCTCCTAACCCCATCCTCCACCCGCCCTGATCTCAACCCCCCATTCTGCTCAGGTTCTAATCGATGACTGCTCAGTATCTTGGGACGTCCTCCCAACGTGAAAGGCACTTTACAAATGTAATTTTGTATTATATTTTGTAGTGTAATATAATCCTTGCATTTGATATAACATATTATCATGTTGTTGAGATGTCTTAAGAGTGCTTCACAGGGTATGCTGTATGTTGGTGTGACTGTATATTTTTGCTAGAATGCTGCAGCCAATTTGCGAACAGCAATGTCCCACAAACAGTCATGGCTATCTGGAGCCATGGAGTGAGTAACCAATTTTATTTGGGGGATTGTTGCCCCGGATGCCAGGAGAAACTCACTTCTCTTTTCAAATAGTGCCATGGGATCTTTAATATCCATCTGAACAGGCAGACGAGGCCTCAATGTAATATCTCATCCGAAGGAAGGATGTGAATATTTCGGAGCTTATGTTACAACAACAACTTGCAATTATATAGTGCCCTCTCAGAGCATTTCACAAGAATGGTCATTTAGGAGAGGTACCAAAGTGTATAGCCTATAGCCTATATAACCTAAGTGTTGGGCTACACTTTCAGGAAAAGGTTGACAAAATAGTTAGCAAAAAAATCATTTAAAATAGAAGCAATTGAGCAATATATTTATATTGTTTTCATTGTGGACATGGTGATGTGATTCATCTGAGGTCATCCAACATGGTTTGTGTTGTTAATTATTTGGTGGGGTGGGGGGGAAGAGATTTTCCCCTTTTAAACATAAACCTGAAGAAAGAAATTTGCAAACATTTGAGCAGAATCAGATGTAGAATCTACATACTTTCTTTGTGTCATCCAGAGTATAAACTCCCAGCTGTCCAAAAAGCCCAGTTCCTTATCTGTTCCACACACTGATCCTAACTAAAAGTTGCTAGAAGAGTAATGATGCCTGTTTAAATCTGAGTCGGGACAGACAAGGAATTACTGGTTTGGAAACTTGAAGGAAAAGTAATTCATCCTGTCTTTTTTTCAGTCAGCGAAATCTGGCAGAGATCACAGAACTGATCCACACGGCCTTTCTCGTGCATCGTGGGATAGTGAATATTATGGAGCTGACATCATCTCACGGGTCACTGAAGGATATGCAGTTTGGTAATAAAATGGCTGTCCTGAGTGGAGACTTTCTTCTGGCCAATGCGTGTACAAGCCTTGCTCAGTTACAGAACACTAAGGTACTGGATTGTCTTCTTTGTAATGCTTGTAACATGTTTGCAGAAGGGGTTTGATTAATAATAATCCTTGCAGTTGATCTACAGCCTATAAGATCAAATTGTTTGCCAAATGTATAGATAAATATGAGACAATTTGCAACACAGCGAGAACCCACGATTTTGTTATTTTTCCACAATTTTGCAGTTTTCCCCAAACAACCTGAATTTAACCTGTTTTCGGCTTTACATTAGCAAACCTTATTGGTGTTGACTTGGGTGGTATAGCCCACTCTATCATGGGGCTGGAAATGTACCAAAGGTTAATGCCAAACTAAAGCCCACTGAGCTCAAATTAAATACGGTTGTTTGTTGCGAATGTCAAAGGCTTTCACCCTAGGGTTGGTTGTAAACCTTTTGGATGCTCCGTTTTGAGTTGTCTTCCACCAAAGGAGCTGACTGACTTTCTGTGGTTTGTAGTTAATCTATGGCTAGTCAAATGTTTACTCAGTTTTTTTTATATTTTGGTTTCCTCCAGGCATGATTTGAAATCACATGACAGACTCTTCAAAAACACTAATGTCACTTTGCAGCTGGTTCGCAGAATCCTGTTCATGTACATGGTGGTGCACGCCCAGAGCCCTGGCAAATGCAGCTTTGAAAAAAAATTGTTTGTTCACAATTCCAAAGGCTAAAAGTGGCCTAATTTAGGTTTAACTTCTTCAAATGGCTCAAGAATGTTTTGCGACTATCAATGATTATGCAGTGCTAGTGAATATTATGTTTTAACGGCGCAAAAATCCTTTATTACAAACTGGTAAATTGATGGAGTTCGATGTACTGTGGTCTAATTCCATGAGAATTCCCATTGAATTGTAAGAAATTCCATCGACCTGCAAGAACTCCACTCTGGAAGTTGATTGCATTGGAGTGAAGTTTCAGCAAATGGTTTAATTTACTTCCAGTTCCCGAAAGGAAACACTATTTGTGTAACTCGGATTGTTTATTAAATAACCTCCTGAAAAATTCCACAAATTAGATTTGTACTGTTATAGCATTTGTATGTTCATCTGTTGCAAGTAATTTGTTAGACGTTTACAATCCATTCATCTAGGATTTTACAAATCCAACTACAGTAGAGTGTATAAGGTAAAGAAGGAAAAGAGATGGAGATTAAAAATGGTTCTGCGACCTGTCCAAGTTCTTTGATGTTCTCTAGTTTTCAATACACAAAGTAGTAATCTAATCTAAAACGTACATTCAGACGTATGCCTGCAACAGACGGTATGTGAGCCGCTAATTTCAAATTTTGCAGATCAAAAATCTTTTGGTTCATCTGGGAAGATGCAATATTTTGTTACTGTTACAGTGATATACTCAGTGACAGGTGGAGTCTTGCTCTTTGTCCATTTGCACAACACATTCATTTCCATACACATCTAGGGTAACAATTAAATGTTGGATTGAGCATTTTGTATATTACAAAATCTTAATGAAATGCAAATCTGTTTGATTATTGCCAAGGGTAACATTAACTGAGTTAATTATTCTTCTCCTGGCATTTCCCAGTGGTTGGTACAGGACTGGGGACTTTGTGCAGCAGGAAATGCTTTGATATAAACGCTGCTCAATTAAAAGTGTAGTGTTTTAAATGAAATCTGAATTTGGTCAAATAAAATAATAATAAAATAATAATCCTTGCATTTGATAAAATGTCTTTCAGGTTGGGAGGATATAATAATAATAAACCTTGCATTTGATATAGTGCCTTATCACGTGTTCAAGACATCTCAAAGAGCTTCACAGAATATACTACAAAGTGAATTGACTGAATATTTTGTGGGCCCTTCTCAAAGCACTTCACAGGATATATTGTGAAGTGTAGTAAGTATGTATTTTGTTGTCAAATGTGGCAACCCATTTGCACACAGCAATATCCCCCAAAGAGTCCTGAGGTGAATGATCAATTTTATTTGGGGGATTGTTGGCCAGGACTCCGGGAGAACATCCTTCTCTTTTCGAATAGTGCCAAATTATATGTCCACCTGAACAGGCAGATAGAACGTTGGTTTAACTTCTCCTCTGAAGGGCAGCACCTTCACCTAGCACTGCAGTGTCAGTTTATATTATGAGAGCTCAATATGATGTGGGGCTTGAACCCTGACTCAGAGATTTCTCCAGATATAAAAGGCACTACATCAAATGTAAGGCTTATTATTATTGTTATTCATTTCAGGAGCTGGAAGTGGAAGAAAGCCCTTCACTGTTTTGTGATTTAGCAGAGAAAGTCTGCAAACTTAGAATTCTGCTTTTACACTGAGTTATTGAACTAGAAATGTAATCTAACTTCACAAAGAAATATTCCAGTATAGGGTATTAATTAATCTTCAATCTCAGTTTGCGGGATTTTCAAGATGACAGCTCAACTGTTTTTGACAGAAGGGAAATCACTTTATATAAAGTAACACAAGTGTTAAAGATCTCCTGGTTATAACTAAAACAATCCATGATTACGGTTTTTGTAAATTGATATTTCATATCATGCTTATATTAATATCTGATTAGACGTGGCTGTTTAGTTTAAAAATAGAATGTGTTCTGCGCATAGAAGGAATAAATGCCTTGCGTCACAACTGTGACATTTGACAATTTTTCATAAAATTATAGGGAGACCTCTAAAAAGCCAAGATTTGGTCTAAATTAACACACTCACTGACTGTTTTCTCTGAAATGTATATTAGTTGAGTCTATTCCTCAATGGGTTTAAATGCTGCCATGTTCACATTTCTCCTGTGTGAATAATGTATCCAACACAGACATTCGTTGTTGCTGTTCATCAGTTGCTCCATTGCACACAGTAAAAACATACTTCCTTTTACTAAGATAACTTTATTTTGCTGAATTGGGAATTCACCTTTATACAGTAATTAGTTCATTTCAGAACTGAAGAGAACAGATGATAGTAAGCAGAGCTAATCTAAAACACATGGTTGCAAACAGAAAAATAATTGTAGGAGTAAACTTCCTTCTCTGATGATCATCCCTTCATGATACTCCAGTCTGTCCATTGGAGCATATAAAAAGTTTTTTTTTGAAAGAAGATACTCTTATCGGTAGTTGATAGATGTGAAAATAATGTTGAGGGAAGAGAAGATCTCTACATGCAGGAAATGTGTTCTGTCGTGAGACTGATCAGGGTTACTCTGACATGGAATAGTCTATATTAAGGTCATCAGAAGGAAGGGACTCCAACAGAGGTTTTTTTGCTCGGTTTGTTTTGAGAGAATAAATCCTGCCCTTTCTCCCACCCCCTCATTGCCTATGACCGATTGGGCAAGCAATATTAGACCTCCCTAATGCTGCTCAGAGCCAGCCAATACTTGGTACATGACACAGGCCCCGAGATGTAACTCTTCCTCCTTTGAATGCTTTGCAATGTGAATGGCATTGTTATTTCCCAGTGAAACATAACTTAATTGATTTAATATGGCTCTTTTTTTCAGAATTTAGTCTAGGGAAAAGTTGCACCATCACACAAACAAATGTAGGTAGCATGTTAGTGCTGGTTAATCAGTTTAGGTCTCCAGTAAGTTGCTTTTATTAAACTCGTTCGTTACCCCATCCTCAAATAGACTCATTTGCTAATCAGAATGTATTCTCAGTTTACAGGCTGCAAATTAGATCATTTAAATGTCCGTGTCTTCCTGTGGGATACTGCCACAAGCTTCTTAGGTTTTTACAAAGACCTATAGATTTTTTTTCTCTCTGCTTGCGAATGAGGCGTTTATTCCTCAAAGTCTGCTGTGTTATTTTCCTATTTATTTCAAATTTTTCAATATTTCATATCGCTATTACAGGCATTACAAGCAATGTAGAATCATCACAGATTTGTGAGGTGGAGTTTGATTGCCTGATTCAGCATATTCTTTTTCATGTATTCCTTTTCCCCATGCACATCGCCCAGAACGTTATTCCCTTGCTGAGATAGACCCCAGATTTTTGGGTATATTCAGTTTTCCTTCTCATCTTGCTTACTGGGGTTTCCCCTTTTTATTTTCCTGGTTAGGTGTATTTTATTTAAGATCTGTTTTGACAATGCCCCCCCTCCCCCTTCATCTTTGTCTGAGGTTTTGCTTTCATTGGTCCTTTGAACTAGAAAGGAACATTTGTTTTTGCTGGCCCTAACCTAAACCTTGCAAGGTTGGATCATATAGGTTTGATTTGGGGTTAATTCTGGGATATGTGATGCAGATACAGTACCAGAATAAATGTTAGCATCATCAATGTTCCTGCTCTTCTTGGGCAAAACCACTACAAAAGCTCACCCTAGGACTTGAATGCTAATTTTACTCTGAAATTTGATAGAAACAGTTAACTTGCAAACCTCCAGTATGAATATCCCACCTGCATTTGCTGTTGCCTTGACAACAGAGGTTAGCCGGACAAATGTTCATTCATTGTGTCATGGTATACAAGTATGTCAAAATGCAGAGGCTGCTGTGCACTGATTCCTTTGCCCTCAAGTGTTATAGATTGAATTGGCTCTATTATCTCACTTGTACCCACAGTAAATCTGTTACTCTGTATCATGGTGAGTTTGAGGATGTAAAGTATAGCTTTTGTGTTTTCAGGATTTGCACAGAAAGTATAGTGCGTGTCATCAGCATTTGATGATGCCTTTTTTTGGCACGGTTACAAAATATGTATTTGGTTTGCAAAAATTTTTTTTCTGTTGTATCGTACGCTTAAATTACTTGGGAAATCCTGCAAAAGCATCCTCTAGTAGAGCTCTGTCTCTACGGTGTGCCCTCAATAACCCTCAGTGCAGCGTACTTGGCTTCTGGTGCTGTCCAGCCACCTTTCTCCACTAAATATGGCTGACTCCCCGGTTGTCAAGGTTGTATTGACATCATTTCCTGCATGTTATGGGTAGGAAGCACCGCTGACGTCACTTAGCAATGGAAGTGACATCATCGGTGCTTCCTGCTTATAGCACAGGAAGTGACATCAACAGTGACCTGACA